GCAGAAATATAAAGAATTTTATTTGCTGAAGACAAAATTTTTTTTATATTTCCATAAGAGCTTTTTGTACAAGGATTTATTCTAATTTCCTAGTTGATATGACTTTTAAACGTGACTGTTGTGAATTTGAAAGTATTTCTTTCTTCACTTTGGCTAAAATCAGATGAAACGACGTGTGAAAGGTTTCAACAAGTAAATGTACAATACAATATTTGATCTAGTTGATATGACTTTTAAACGTGACTGTTGTGAATTTGAAAGTATTTCTTTCTTCACTTTGGCTAAAATCAGATGAAACGACGTGTGAAAGGTTTCAACAAGTAAATGTACAATACAATATTTGAATCATGAAATGAACATTTCTGTGTCACATAATTTAGAGACGTCTTTAATTAAATGTTTGACTGAAACAAAAATTTCCTTATTCAAAATTTCAGTATCGCTATTTATATCTGGCAAAACTGCAAAGACTTTCAAGAATAAAACACACGCATAGAAACATAAAGCCATGCGGTTAATTTATTATCGCATTTTATATTTAATGAAATACAGCATTAACATACATGATGTCTGGAATAAGACTTCCGTGAATTTCAGAATTGATGGAATGTGTCGAGACGCACGTGTTCATTCGAAATGGATTTTATTTTTCTAAAATCGAAGGAATTCACGTCATCTGCTGATGAGTATAGACGCAGATCATGACTAAGCACATTCTGTATGCATTCAACGAATGATAAAGAGTCCAGTTATCTTTTATATATATGGAATTTATTTTTCTAAAATCGAAGGAATTCACGTCATCTGCTGATGAGTATAGACGCAGATCATGACTAAGCACATTCTGTATGCATTCAACGAATGATAAAGAGTCCAGTTATCTTTTATATATATTCTCAGGATTCCTGCTGATTTATGTGTGATCCTTGCACAAGTGTAAGAGTGACATCTTTGCTGCATCACTGGCGATTTTTCTCCCATTTTTCTTCAAGACCTTCCCCAAAGTTTTTATTATTTGTTTATTTTTTCTCAACTGGACCAACAATTTTTTTTATATTTCCCGTGACATTGATGACATTTGCCATTTTCAATTAGTTTTATTTGTGGGTTTTTAAATTTTTTTCTAAAATTAAAATTTCCTAAATTTTTTTGTTTTTTGTATCTAAAAGAAATTTTCTGTATTTCCCGTGACATTGACGACACGCCATTTTCAGTCAGTTTTATTTGTGGGTTTCTATGAATTTTTTTTTCCAAATTAAACTTTCCCAAAGTTGCAGTTTTTTGTATCTATAAATTTTTTTTCTGTATTTCTCGTGACATTCACGACATGCCATTTTCAGAAGTTTTATTTGCGGGCTTCTATTTTTTCTAAATTAAGATTTCCAAAAGTTTCAGATTTTTTTTTACAAAATCTAAAAAAATTGTATTTCTCGAGACATTGACAAGACAAGCCATTTTCAATCAGTTTCATTTGTGGGTTTTAATTTTTTTCTAAATAAAAATTTTCACTGCTTTGTATTTAAAAACAATTTTCTGTATTTCCCGTAACATTTACGACAAGCCATTTTCAATCAGGTTTATTTGTGAGTTTCTAAATGTTTTTCTAATTTAAACTCTCCCAAAGTTTCAGTTTTTTTGTATCTAAAACCAACTTTTCTGTATTTGCCGTGACATTGACGACACGCCATTTTCAATCAGTTTTATTTGTGGGTTTCTATAAAAAAAAATTTCCGAAATTAAAATTCAGTTGCAGTTTTTTGTATCTATACAATTTTTTTCTGTACTGTATTTCCCGTGACATTCACGATGTGCTATTTTCAATGTTTTATTTGCGGGTTTCTATTTTATTCTTAATTAAGATTTCCAAAAGTTTCAGATTTTTGTAAAATATCTAAAAAAATTGTATTTCTCGAGACATTGACGACGATCGAGCCATTTTCAATCAGTTTCATTTGTGAGTTTTTATTTTTTTCTAAATTAGAATTTTCACTGTTTTGTATCTAAAAACAATTTTTCGGTATTTCCCGTAACATTTACGACATGCCATTTTCAATCAGTTATATTCGTGGGTTTATATTTTTTTTCTAAATTAAGATTTCCAAAATTTGAAGATTTTTGGATCTAAAAAAAATTTCCTGTATTTCTCGAGACATTGACGAAAAGGCATTTTCAATCAGTTTCATTTGTGGGTGTCTATTTTTGTTATTTTCACTGTTTTTCTAAAAACAATTTTTCTGTATTTCCCGTAACATTTACGACATGCCATTTTCAATCAGTTATATTTGTGGGTTCCTAATTTTTTTTCTAAATTAAACTCTCCCAAAGTTTCAGTTTAAAAAAAAATCTAAAATCAATTTTCCGCTATTCCCCGTGAGTCCGTGACATTGACGACAAGCCATTTTTAATCAGTTTTATTTGTGGGTTTCTATAAATACAGTATATTTTTTTCTAAATTAAAGCTTGGATCAATGAGCGTGACGGATCAATGAAAAACGGGGTTATTTGAGAAAAAAGAGTGCTTGGCTCGTCCTGGGAATTGGATCATGACAACGAGTCTTTTGCCCCCCTTTTCCATTTTTTTCTGCGTATTTCTTATCTTAATTTATTTTTCACGTTTTTTTTTTCGTTTCGGTCCTGCGAATTTTTGTAGCGGATTTTATTTCTGGAGTATATCGTTCGGTTCTGATTCGTCAAGCTTTCGAGCGCGGAGATGATTCGAAAAACGCGATGCTGAAAGTCGATATAGTTTGGCGCTGGAATAATAATAATGTTTGTCACGGTCTGGAGAAGACAATTTTCTGAAGCAAACGGAAACTTGTGTGAAATAAAATTGATTGATGAATTGCTATTCAGGTGAAATTCAATTGTTTCCTCATCAGCACACTATGGGATAAAAGGGTTCATCAGCCTGTGTATTGTACAGTGAGACCCCCACATGTGGACACATTGACCTGCAGACAATTCAACATAGGGACACTTATTTTCCCCAGAAAAAAATGAAAAGAAAAGGCCCAACATGAGGACACTGACTTGACATAGGGACAATTTGTGATAAAATTGCATATACATTTCAGGCCAAATTACAAGAAACAGATACGTACAAACCCAAAATTGATGTAAGAAAAGTTCTTGGGAATTTCTCTCACCAAATTACCATCCATTTAGCTCATTTGAAAAAATTACCTTCATCATAGAGGGACTTCTACATTTTTTTTCACTTGAATTTTATTTTTGTAGATGCCAACATTTCAATTTACAGTACAGAGACACACTATTCAATGCTCCAAATGTTCTTATTGAGTTGGACATGCATTCACTAACTCAAATTCAAGTGGCAAACAATTTTTTTCAGGGAATTCTGAAGAACATTTCTCCCATAAAACACCAATTAAAAATTATATAATTCAAGTCTAAGGGGAAAACAAGACTTGACTTAGGGACAATTCAACTTAGGGACAACTCTTGATGCACCAATTATGTCCACATCTTGGGGTCTCACTGTATTTCAACGTATCCAATCTCAGTACCTTTTTTTTGAATATTTACTCGAAATAAAGCAGGTTCAAAAAGTGGGTACTGTATTTAAAATATTTTAAATTGGCTTTCCAAGGTTTTTTGTTATGAAAATTTTTTGCTACATTTTTACATGGATTTTTGATCACTTGATCGACTTGAATTTGTAGACATTGGAAAATAAGTGCAGAACAAATCTTGGAAAAATCCCAAATCCGTTATTGAAGATTATAAAATTTGAATATAATTTCAGCAACATTTCGTAAACAAACAAAAAGTTTTAAAAAAATATTGAGAAGCCCAAATTTTTATTTGGAAATACTTGATTATTCATTAACACAGTGTCTGAATTGCCAAAATCAACATTCAAACTGTCGTTGATATATTTTTAAACAGTTTCAATAAAAAGTTTTTCTTCACAAATTAAAGCCCAATTAACTGGATTTTAATCTTTATGGATCCAGTTTTTTGTTGTTGTGTGCTTGTTATGACTGAAAAATGGACTTTGATAAATTGTCAAGTTGAACATGATTACAATTTTTTTGTGGTGGACTGAGAAAATTGAATGACAAAATAAATTAGCTTCTTGTATAATGCTCAATTTTTTGTTTCATAGAAGGATTTCTGCACAATGTGAAACAGAACTCAATGAAGAGCAAATTTTGCTTTGATATGTATATAGTTGAAAAGGGCATTGTTGAGCAAAACTGATACTGTACAGGGAAATGAGGTTTATCATCAATTGTGATCAATTTATGTTTATTTGTGTTATATTAATCAGTTCATTTTGCATCTTGTAAGAAATTAATGCCTCAAATAACTTTTAGAGCATTTGTGAAGATAATTTTTTACTGTGGGTATTTTAGCAATTTCTAATCACTTGTTGTTGCAGCTGCTAAAGCCAAAATTTGTCTGCTTCAATTGCATTTTTTGAAGAGTGTCAAAATAGGCTTTATCAAATTTTTTTACTATTGTTACTGTTCAGCTAAAAAAACTTTTTGTTTTTGGTCTCAGCTGCTCTGGCTGACAAACCATGACTCAGCTTAAAAACTTTGAGTTCTCCAAATGCTCATGGGTATAATAAAAATTTCTTTAGCAAAATCCAGGGATTCATGTTTTAACTTATTTATGAACTCATCTAAGAATGTCTCAAAAGCTCAGTGACCAATTCTTGACACCATTTTTTTCATTGTAATTGGCTTAAAATTCATACAACTTTTTAGCATTGAAATTTCTGTCCTAAGACCTTGGTTTGTGAATAAGTTTGTGGGGTTGCATTTAAAATTTTCAAGAAACCTCTGGATGAGAAACTCACTTGAAAATTTTACTTCTATGGATTG